CTGCCGATCTCCCCGCATCGCCATTGCGTCCTAAAGGTAGGCCACGCACATCGGCCGGGAAGACAAATCCGTATTTACCTGCGAACGGCGAATCCCCTAAATGGAACGGCCTTGTTGATCTGAAAAGTAAATCGTTGCCGAGGACGACCCCAGTACGCCCGCGCTTTGACCGGGCTGCATTGCTTGCGGCCACCAGTGAAACAACCGGAGACGATTCAGACGACTCACTGGAGGAACTTCCAGCAGGAATGTCTCCTCCAGTGCTCGTATCTCCTGCACGACGCGTGCGTCTGCCAGCAGTAATTGAGCTCACACGCACGCCGACGAAAAGTGCCGCTGCACGCATTCACGACGACCTTGTCTCCGCCGCACGTCGTCAGGAGTCTGTGAAGCTGCGCAAACTGTATGGGTTTCCTCTGGGCAGCGCTGCCGAGGCAGACTCGAGTCGTAGTACGATGTCAACAGCGCCATCGCTCTCACGTTATCGCGAGTCTGAAACGGACACTAGTGCTGCAGAGCAGAGCCTCGAGAGCGTTATGCGGAGGTTGGATATGGATTTAGGTGAGGAGCCGACGTACGCTCGGATGCCGCGCCTCCCGACGACTCCGGCGCTCCGTCTCAGGTCAAAACAACGGAAGCCAGAAGCAGCCCCTCCAACCCCACCCCCTCCTGAACCAGAGCCCGAACCCGAACCCGAAGCAGAGCCAGAGCTAGACCTACATGAGAGGGATGTCAAGTCCAAGTCACCTGAATATGCAGGTGATGAGACTACGTTTCCGCAACAGGATGATTTCTCGGATGATTCAATGGACGAGATCAACGACACGGCACATCCATCCGCGGCCTTTCTTCTGGCAGCTCAGGTTGCCGGACGTGGCTCTGATGATTCAGACTCCGACGACTCGTTCGATGACGACGAAGGTGCTCTCCCGGCTGTCCAATTCGTGGCCGCCGGCGAGGATTCCTTCGACGATAGTTTTGATGATGATGTAGGTGGCGAGCAGGATGAGGAAACAGTGTTTGGGATTGGTGCACGGGTGAACAACCAGATCACACCTGGTGGTGGTCTGCAGCTGCTCGGCGCAAACCTGGTGCAGGACACGGAGCAGTTTTCCGAAGAAGTGGGGAGGCTAGGCATACACAGTCCGACGCCGTCGAACTGGCCACCGCGTGGAAAATTACAATGAATGTGTATACCATAACCTTTACCGCTGTACTGCAGTTTATTTTTCGCACTTGAAAAGGTCGTAACCTGTAGAACATTGGTGCAAGGAGTCGCCCATGTGATCGCGTACCCGTACCGTTTGACGGAGTCGCGGTCGGGCGGAAACAATGCTATGCATCACTGCATGTTCATCGTCTCACGCGTCGTTGTGAATTTCTCACGCAGGTCGGTATTTATGGGACGCCAGCAAACACTAGGTTACTCTCTCTTATCTGAGATTGGTTCGGTACTCTAACGTGAATGCAGCGAAGTTCTTCGATATGCCCAAAGGAAGGCCGGCGCCGCCACAACAGGCCAGTCTCAAGGAGATGTGGGGCCAGAAAAGAAAGGTGCACGGTGACGCGTCTGCCAGCGTGTCGAACGTGATGAAAGACGAGCAAACTACCGATGAAGAGACGAATGAGACGGAAGTGGAAGAAGCCATGGTCATGGATATCAGTGACGCGCGTATGTAGCCCGCCGTTGGGTCGTACTATCATCTTGACCGGCGTCTTCAGCGAAACCCGCCAGCTCGAAGCCTGCATCTCCGCGGAAGGCTGCGGAAAAGAGATCTTTGTCTCCTGACATGCCCAAAGCCAAACGCCGTCGAATTGTTGAATCTGACGATGAGCAGGAGACAGCTGCTGGTACGTTGACTAATGCCTATAGCGTGCTCGCGTTTGACTTTCTACAACAGGTCCCAGTACATCACAAGCTTCTGGAAGTTCATCCAAAGGTCTTGCATCTAGTAAGAAGGGCACGGGAAAACACTCCGTGGCGAAGAAGGCGGAAGACGATGCTCATGAAGATGTGGCGCAAGTGAGCCAGCCCAACTCAGAGGGTGAGGACGAAGTGATGCCTTCCGACGACGAAGAGATTGTAAAGGAAGCGTCGAAGTCTGGTACTAAGATGTTTGTCCACTATCTTCTGCTTGGCTTGCGCAACTGACAATTTACCATCAGTGCTGAAGCGGCTCTTTCTCGAATAAAAGACGTCGACGTCAAGGGCGGATGGAAAACTGGTGCCCAGTATGTGTGTGTCGAGTGTTACCTTGCTTTCTTCACTAAGTCTCAATGCATAGCGTGCCATATGCCGCACTCACAAAGACTTTCTCTCTCGTCGAAGCAACGACCAAACGCTTAGAGAAAATCGCATTACTGACTGCATTCTTCTTGCTCGTAATACGGCGGAGCAAGACGGACGACGATCAAGGACTGTTGCAAGCCGTTTACCTGTGTATCAATCGAGCAAGCCTTATTGCTGGTCTTTGTCGCGTTATGCTGACGATCTCCTAGATTTGTCCCGATTATGTCGGCGTCGAACTCGGAATTGGCGAAAGCTTGCTCATCAAGGCTATTGCAGAATCGACAGGCAGGAGCCTGGCCGTCATTAAAGCTGACCTCAAGAAGGAAGGTGACCTGGGACTCGTGGCTATGGTGGGCTTCAGGTGTTGTGTTTCAAGGAAGTCCTGCTTATACCTCTTTTACAGAATTCGAAAAATAGCCAGGGCACGCTGTTTAAGCCGAAAGCTCTCACTTTACCCTTCGTGTTCGCTAATCTAAAGGAAATCGCACTTTCAACTGGAAACTCAGTATGTACTGTCTTCGGATATTCGGAACATGTTCAACTCTTAGACCCCAAAATAGTCGCAAGCCAAGAAAGTTTCTATCATCACAAAGCTTTTGGCAGCGTGTCAGGATTTTGAGGCCAAGTTCATCATTCGAAGCGTCGAGGGCAAACTGAGGATTGGAAACGCAGATCGTTCAGTTCTAGTAGCTGTGGCTCACGCTGCAGTACTGGCTGAATACGAGCGTAGTATGTTGTTTCATTCTCCTATCCTGACATTTTTTGAATCGAATAACAGACCACAGTAAGTGGAGCAACGAGAAGCTGGCTGTGAAGCTCGAAGAAGGAGCCGAAATCCTGAAGTCCGTGTACAGGTATGTTCTCATTTACCCTTAATTCTCTACCACAACAGAGTGTTCCTTTCTCAGCGAACTGCCATCGTACGATGAGGTTATACCTGCACTGCTCAAGTACGGTATATTCGGACTGCAAGAGCACTGCAGGTTGACACCCGGTGTGCCGCTCAAGCCCATGCTCGCTAAGCCGACGAAGGCAATTGGCGAAGTGCTTGACCGTTTCGAGAATAAGCGCTTTACATGCGAGTATAAGTACGACGGCGAGCGCGCGCAGGTGCATTTCCTTGAAAACGGCAAGATTTGCGTGTTCAGTCGCAACTCGGAAGATATGAGTAAGAAGTATCCGGACCTAGTCGAGCAGATTCCTCTCGTGAGTGAAGCCCTCACAATGAAGGGATGGAGGGTGGTATTGACACTTGGCGTCTAGTGTATGAAAGAGGGCGTGAAGTCTTTTGTCCTGGACTCGGAAGCTGTCGCGATTGACCGCGACACGCTGAAACTCATGCCATTCCAGGAACTCAGTAAGCGGAAACGCAAAGATGTGAAGTTGGACGACATCAAAATCAAAGTCTGTCTTCATGTCTTTGATTTACTGTACTTGAATGGCGAGGTCTGGTGTCATCCTATCTTTGATCGTAGCAATGCGACTAATGTTCTTGGACTACTAAACAGCCCCTTCTGCACAAGACGTTGAGCGAGCGCCGACAGTTGTTGCAGGAAAACTTCAATGTGGTGCCCGGGGAATTTCACATGGCGAAGTCGTCGGATAACGAGACGACGGAGGAAATTCAAGCCTTCTTGGAGGAGAGCATAAAGGACGGCTGCGAAGGTCTTATGGTTAAGATGCTTGAATCCGACGCCAGCTACTACGAACCCAGTAGGCGGACTGTAAATTGGCTTAAGGTGACCATAATTGTTTGCATGTCTGTTGTTACGTGCTCACAGCCACATCCTTCAGCTCAAAAAAGACTACCTCGCCGGCATCGGGGACTCCTTGGACCTCGTCGTGGTGGGGGCATTTTACGGCAAGGGCAAGCGCACGAATGTTTATGGCGCTTTCCTGCTGGCGTGCTATGACCCCGACATAGAGGAGTACCACACAATCTGCAAGATTGGGACTGGATTTAGCGAGGAGATACTGCAGTCTCACTACAACGTGTTGAAGCCGTTGGAGACGACGAGCCCTCGCGGCGACGTCAAGCATGGTGGTCCGAAGCCTGACATCTGGTTTGAGCCGAAGGTCGTGTGGGAAGTCCTTGCCGCAGATTTGAGTCTGAGCCCGATATATACGGCGGCTATGGGTCTGGTGCGTCGCCACTCGTCGCTGTAAATTATCGGTGGTTCTGATGTTTGATTGCAGGCCGGCAACAAAGGGATATCCTTGCGTTTTCCTCGATTTATTCGGATACGCGATGACAAAGACCCAGATGACGCTACCGGTCCTGAACAGGTAAAATCTTCTCCGTCTACATGTGCGTTGACTTCTAATTCGTGTTCTGCGTAGATTGCGGATATGTATAAGAGTCAAGCCCTTGCTCAGAGTAGCGGTAAAGGAAAGAAGGGTAATGATGATGGTGATGATTTTTGGTGAAGTATACATTGTATGATATACTGATAAATCTTGTTGTCTTTTGTATGTGATATATTCTTCTTCAGACTATCGACCATCAGCCACAATCAGTCTTGGCTCGGCATCGCGATGGGGAAGCAAGAAAGGAGCGAGTCCCGCAGGAGTCGATCTTTCAGTAATTCCTATCCACGAGGACAGAGTGGCGATTCGAATGCGCTGATCATTTCGCCGAGGATCCGGGGGCGTCTTCCTCAACTTGACGACTAACATGTATTTTACAAACTACTTCGGCATGCTTTTCATTGGGTCCCTGGCGCAATGGTTAGCGCATTCGGCTTCGATCGCCACTCTATCCCTGTGGATAGGAGTTACCGAAAGGCTGCAGGTTCGAGTCCTGCGGGGCTCGGTTTTTACTTTTACCTGGCACTTGAGAATGTGTCCATTTGTCAGCCAGTTTAGCCTGCTTGCGAAGATATTGGGCAGGTGCAGGTAGCTTCAAGGGGTATCGGTCACGTCTGATCCCTGAAGTGAATCTGGTTCTGGGGTCCATGTTGTAGCCCATTTAGCCGTGGAGAAATCTGCCGATTTCAACTCAAATAGAAAATTCTGTACTTGGTCGCTGCCCGAGGCTCAAATACAGCAGTAATATTCAACAGGAGAGAATGGGGCGACGCTGAATTTGGAGCCCATGAGAAGAGCACGATGGATAAGTATTGTTGTTGCACAAGGATCTCGAGAGCATTTAGCCGTGGGAGCCAAAATGTGGCGGAAATATCTTTGAGCATCTGTTTTTCCTCAAGCAGCTGAAAATCGCTGCAAGATTTCAAGTACTTAGTCTGTAGACTCCGTGGATAGTGATCCATTGATTTGTTGTTCCAAAAGCAGTTTGCACTATGAGTCATCCAGACGCTGTCTGGTAGCGGTGGCGGTGCACTTACATCAATCAAACAGGGCGGCCTTCACGACGTCGTTCTTCGACTTCACGCTCATTTATGGCAGCCAACGTTTCTACAGATACGAATCAGGCTTTGAGATAATATTGGCTCAAACATATGCGTCGACGACATGTCCAATATTACCAAGTCAAAATTAAAAGCATCTCGGGATGCAATTACGAGCAAGAAATACGATCAGGCGAAAGAGGCCGCGCGAGCGGTACTTGACTATGAACCCGACAATTACAATGCGTAAGAGACGCCTTACTTGAAGGTCATTGTAATCTGATTTGCGAAATAGCAATATATATCTCGGAAAGGCAGCACTGGAGCTTGGCGAACTGGAGGAGAGTGAACAAGTGAGAACTGCCGCTTAATAGAGTATCGAAGTCCAAGTTCACAGTCACGCTAGGCATATCAGCGTGCCATCGCCACAAATCCTAAGCAAATACTTGCTTTTCAGGTGGGAGGATGCATCTGGAGCAATCAGTATAGCTGATCTATCCTCAGGGCATATCCCAATTATATGAAAGAACCGGAAAGTGGGAGAAATACGCTGGATCGCTCTTGCGCCTCGCCGTGATGTACATGTAAGGAATTCAAGTTCCCTCGCTAATTGTGCGTAATTGGATGCAACTTCTTCTGCAGAGATACACCAGAAAAGTGCGCAGAGACTTTGCAGAAGTATATCGCCCTCCAACGCGAACGTGGGACGCCCACACAGATTTCGCAAGCCCTACGGTTATTACTACCAGGATCAGAATACTATGATACGCTATCTTCTCTCCCTGCTCCAGACCACACCAACCCTACCTCGACGACGACGCACGATATTCAATGTGCCATGTATAATTCTTTGCCTGTCCTTCAAGAAATAGTGTCGATTTTAGAGGCTCAAGAAACGAGCTCCTTCAACGTCGAGGTTGATAAACAACGTCAGCGCCTCGGTGCCCCAGGTTTAGATCAGATCAAGCTCGACGTACGGCTTGAAATGAGCGCCTCTTCTCAGGTGTGTCTAACTTGACAGTACACATTGGTGTGGTGCCGTCTGAAGCGCGTTCAAAGCTGCCTTCGTACTACGATGATATCATCAACCATGCTCACACTTCTGATGAATTGCGACGCGAGACAGAATTCAAGTTGATACGCATGAAACAAGAATATCTATTTGCCATCCCTACCAGTAACAGTGACCTGAAAAAGTCAGTCGCCACGGAGGTACACTCGTTGGCAGATGGCGCTGTCGTTCTAGGAATACCAGACGAAATTTCATGGTTGATTGTTATAGAGACTAAAAACACCTCTACCGTCGGTAAGCCTCGCATCGATTTTGTGTATAAGTACTTCCTCCTCTGAAATTTCTCACATAACAGAGGGATACGATCTGAGTCTGCTACGACGCTTCATGGCGCTTTTCCCAGCTTTACCCTTGACTGGAATCCTGAAAGGATATTTCATGTACATGACTATTCCTCTGTCCAAGGACGACGACGACGTGAGCGACGACGAAGAAAAGCATCATGCCAACGGTGACGAGGAAGAAGACCCTTTTGAATTGATACTGGTCTGTCTCCATCCCTTCCTGTGGAATGCGCATGTTCAGTTTTTATTTATAAAGGATTGTTATGATCGCGCAAAAACGTCGGTGCTCGCCAACAAAATTATGGCGGATGTGTATGTTCACGAAGAAGACTTTCAGCATGGCGTTCAAGTGTCTGAGGAGGGTATCAGGGTAACACGAAAACTGGAGGCAAGTTATGGAGAGAAACTCGACAAGGTCACGCTTGGCTTCCATGTGTCTCTCTCAACATCTTTGGTCCACCTATTCCCGCCCAAGCATCATGCACGCGCACAAACTCTTATTGATAGAATCCTCAAGCAGGATTCCGAAAATGTCTCTGCGCTCATGGGACGCGGTTACATCCTACAGGCCGAAAAGCAATGGGATGAGGCAGCAGACGTATTTCAGCGCTGCGTTTCTCTGACAGGCGAGGACTCAGTCGACCACATTCGCGCCGCCGAAGAAGCAGTATGGTGCCAAAGCCGCACGGCCGATGGGCTCGTTACTGCTACCGACGACCTGAAGACGATCCTCGTCACGCTCGAGGCCTTACCGGAGCGCAGTGTCGACCGCGCGCGATGCCTGTGGCGCATCGGCACGTGCCACTGGGACATGGACGGCGCCGCGCGTGACGAGTCGTTCATGTACTTCGTGCGCGCGTTGAAACAGTCCTCTGCGTTCGCGCCGGCGTTCACATCGCTTGGTGTGTACTATGCCGAACAGGCAGCGCCACCGGACCCTGTGCGCGCGTCGAAATGCTTCCAGAAGGCGTTTGAGCTCGATGCGCGTGAGGTTGAGGCGGGTCGCAGGCTTGCGGAGGGCTTTGCGGAGGAGGGCTCATGGGACCTTGTTGATGTTATTGCAAGGAGGACCATCGAGGGCGAGGGAGGGTTGGACGCCGGTATCAGTCAAGAGGGCAGAGCTGCACTGGCTAGGGCACGTCCCGCTAACGGATGGGCTTGGAAAGCGCTCGGCGTGGTTGAGTTGGTGCGTCCTTGCGCACGCTTTTTTGCAGGACATGCGGCTCATGTTTGTCTTCTGCCGCTTCCAGACTCAACGAAACTATCCAGACGCCATCGAAGCCTTCCAGATTGCGCTCCGCGCACATCCCGATGATCATACCTGCTGGTTGCGTCTGGGCGAGTCGTACGGCAAAGCCGGACGTCATGCCGCGGCACTCAAAGCTCTCGAGAGGGCACAAGAGCTCCATCCAGACGACTGGATGTGCGCATATCTCATTGGTGATATACAATATCAAATCGGACAGTATAAAGCCGCTATCGACATTTTCGAGTCCATCCTGCAAGCACATTCGGAGGAAGTGGGCGTACTGGCTTCTCTCGCGCAAACGCGCTTGGACCTCGGGCTGTCTGAGGCCGCTGAGGGCTTCATCGCGAGGGCCGAGGAGACGTTCACCGAAGCGATCCACTTGTCTGCGCAGATAATACAGTATCACCCTGGATTCCGTCGTGTGGCCTGGAAGGTATGTGCCGACGCGATTTTCTATATATCAAAGCGGCCTGTGCCTATAAATGCGGAGCTCGTGTTCTCCACTTTGCAACTGGTGATCTCGCTCCTCCCGGATAAACACAGCAAACACATATCGGGAATCATTTCTCCATCGCCGCTTCCGGAAGAGTCGTCGTTATTGACGGGTCTTCATGCCCTTGAAGTAGCCGCGCTAGCGTACGACTATCCTATGGCGTTGGCTCTCGAAGAAACGATCGGAGGTAGCTCCTGGTTCGACCTTGGCATGATTCTCCGGTCTTGGGCCACGCGGACTATGGATCAAGTCAAGAAAGAACGCGCTGAGAAACATGCGATCGCTTGCTTCACCAATGCATTGCGCGAGGAGCCTAGCAACGATGCGTGCTGGATTGCTTTGGCAGATGCGCACTTCATCGACCAACCGAAAATTGCTCAACACGCTTATATCAAGGCTATCGAAATCGCCTCCAAGGTAAATATGCTGGTGAGGCAATCTTTGTCACAGATAGTTATAACCCTTCATTAGAATGTCGTCCCGTGGACAAACCTAGGATTGCTGTATCTATATCACGACGACATACCCCTCGCAAACGAAGCACTACATCGGGCGCAGACGTTGGATCCCGATCACACTGTTGCATGGATCGGCCAGTTCATCGTCGCCATGAAGAATAAGCATGAGAATGACGCGGCTACCCTTCTGGAACATGCCTTTGAGATAAACACGGACACAGTGAGTATTTACTGTCTAGAGACAATTTCGTTCCCACCTTCAGTATCCTTTTTTTCCAGCCTGATGTGGATTTCCAATTTGCGTTGCACTCGTTCTTTGTAACGAATATGCCGGGAACCATACCGACATCAGAGTCGCTCCTGCCAATATTCTTTGCGCTCGACCGATATTGCAAACAGCGTCCTAATGACGCGTGCGCATTACATCTCTTCGCGCTCGTTTGCGAATCTATGGGGCATATTGAGAATGGCGCCAGCCTCATTACGCGGGCGATTGACATACTAGAAGCCGCATATGAAGAATCGGAAGACGCAAACTTGGAGCGTCAGTTTACGATCGCAACATGTAATAGGGCGCGTATGCAGCTTTCACTAGGCGATTATGCGGAGGCGATCGCGGGCTTCGAAAGCGTTGTCGGTTTGCTCTCGGGCGACGAGGAGCCCGTCGACATCGATACAGTACGCGTTCTCAAGACGCAGTCGCACTTTTGTTCTGCGTTGGCCCATCTCAAGTCGGGGGACATGGCAGCAGGTCTGGTGTCGTTTGAGGCTGCGCTCGAAAGCAGTTCGGGCGACGACCAACTCAAGAATCATGTAACTGTGCTCTTATCACAAGCTCTGTGGTTCTTGGACACAGATGAATCCAAAGAATCTGCAAAGACACAATTACTGGAATGGTGGGCCCGATTA